CCCCAAAACCCCAAAACCCCAAAACCCCAAAACCCCTTAATCTTATTATAAAGCAATTTAGATTAAATTTATAATCAAATAAACTTTATTCTCTCTTTTTCTATACTATCATAATCTATTTTTTTATGTGACCCATCACAATATGCACCTTTTTCTACTTTATTGAGTTTACATCCACACAAGCCTATTATTTTATCCTCATCCTGATGTGTAAATTTCAAAGGCTTAAATCCCTGCAAATCTTTGTGAGAGCCATCACAAAATGGCTGATTATTTGAGGCTCCGCATGTACAATATAAGTATGTCTCACCTTCTTTTAGAAAAACTTTGTAAGATTTTTTGGCTGGGCTCAATGGTTTTAAATCTGCTGGCAATTCAGCTCTGTCAGTGATAAATTCATTTTCATTATTATGATTTACAGGTATGTTCAATATCGTTATGATCTAGTTATATTTTAACTTATCAGGTAAACTTAAGGTATCAATAGTTTTATTTTCACTATAAGTTGTTACATGCTAAGTATCACGCTAAATATTTCTGACCTAATCTTTTAATTCTTAAGATATTTTCATCTTCATTTGGAGAAGGGAGTATACGAATCTTATAGTGTCCTTCTCTTAAAAAGTATACTTGAATTTAATAGCAAGTGCCTGAGCTTTTTCATAGAGATCTGTGTTTCCAGCAAATGATATTTGGAATGAATTGACAATAGAAACAAGATCTTAACTATGGAATCCGATATCCTCTGGCAATTTCCTCTATCGAAGCATTTCCCCAAATAGAGTGTTTATTTAAAGTTCAGCTTTCTCAAGAACCTCCTCTAAATCTAACTATCTAAATTAATGTGGTATCTGAGTGTATTTATCTAGTATTATTGCTATTATTCCTAAGTCTTAAAGTTAGCCAAAGTAGTTACCTCGTGATAATAATTTTTCTACCGCTCGATAGTATTATTGATAGTCGCCATTTAATTAGTTGAGAGAGTCTATTATGCTGGCCACGTAAATTGGTTCAAAATTTTGTAAAGTATCCTTGAATACGATTCCTAGAGTTTATTGTATAGTATCATCAGTATTTGATTTCTCGCCTTTTTAAGTTTGAACTAAGAGTTCAAGTATTTAACAATAGTGTTCTTTTTTCAAGTTCTAGCTCTCATCTTATAAGAAATTATTTATTTCCTGCTTTGATTTTAAGTCTGAAATTATTTGATCAAATAACTTCTTCTATTAAGATTATTATTAATCCTGGCTGAATAATCTTGAGGAGTACAAAGCATTATATTTTGAAAATGGTTTTATTGACTTATTTACAATCCGAATACTAGAGAACCTTCTTATGATTTGAAGAGTTTTCATAATTGAAATAATCTACTAAAAAGAGAATTTTTAATTAAAAAATTAATATTTATGATACTTTAATTTCTAAGTAAAATATTAGCAACATTAATGAAATTAAATCAATCTTCATAAAATTTCAAAAAATTTAGCACTTCCAACCATCATCGAAAGGATATTCCTCATCGAAATCTTCTAAATCGTAATCATCTTATGACATTTATTTTTGGTTATAAGATAAAGAGCCTCTTCGTGCGTTTTAAAATTTAGAGTCCCCTGATCCCTCTTTCTTTAGATAATTATTCTTTGGAATGGTATCTATTAGATTAAGTAAATCTGAATAGTCTTACTTTTTAATGGCACTTTTAAGTTGTCTATTGGCTAACTCTATTAAACTTACTCTTATTTCTTTTGCTCTTCTTTTTTTAATGGTTCTTCTTTTTTTAATTCAACTTTAGCAGGTTATTGTAGGACAGCTTTATTATTATAAGGCTCCTCGGCAACTATATTTTTCTGATTTACTATTTAAATTGGCGCTTAGGCAGCTTTTTTGCCAAATCTGGTACCTTTAGGCTAAACCTTAGGAGGTTCCTCCACTTTTTTTACAGGCTCCACTTTAACCTCTGGTGCAACATTTTTTTAATAATTAATTTGTGGTTTATAATTCCCTTCATCTGAATTTACAGTCTTATCACTAAACCAAGAATAAATAATTTTAATGATTTAATACAAAAGACTGTCAATCTTAGATAATTAATCCTTGATCTCATTTTACTATTGAACCTTTGCCTCTTCGTTCGGCTAATCAATTGCTAATTTACTGCTATGCCTCTTTCTTAGATTGGGGAATTTCAATTCAAAAGCTATGTTAAAACTTAATTCGAAATATATTAACTTACTTATTTTGTCAGAAGTGTCTCCATTTTTTAATTTCTCATAAGCATCTTCTATATTTTTTTTCTCTAGCAAGGCCACATCATAATAGTATCTATAAGAATCGTAATTTGGATTTGTATTTCCTGCATTAACACATTTTTGCATTAAATCGCAGATATCTCCTAGTCTTAAAAATCCTATCATTCTAGAGGACCCAACCACAGTATGGGCAGGTCTATACATTAAACTAGAATCATTAGAGTTCATATGTTCTTCAATATTCTTTAAATTTCCTGGTAATGTTTATGTAACAAACTAAGCAAGTAATCTAATTAACATATCTCTTGGAAATAATTATCCTGGCTGTTCTAAATCTAAAGTTGGTTTGTTATTGCATTAGATTTCTTCTTTCTCATAAGGATGAAATGACATTTTTAATTATTAAAACAAGATTATGGAAATCGTAATAAAGCAATCATGAGGGGTTTTGGGGTTTTGGGGTTTTGGGG